AATAGTTCAAGTCAATTTAATTTTAAAGAAAATAAAAAAATAATTTTTCAAAATATAATATTTTAAAAATATTACTAGAATGAATGAAGAATTGAAAAAAAAAATCTATATTATAATCTTGAAATATTATTTAATAATTTCTTTTCGAAGATCAAAATGAGTAAAATAAATTGTTTCAAAAATAAAATTAAGTATTTAGTCATAATTTTATTTTTATAGGAGTTTAAAGAATGATGTTTACAATTTTGTATCAAGCACAAAGACATCCATCTAATTGAATTAATTAATAAATAAATAACTTTGTTAAAGACGTTCACAAATGTTAAAATTCTAATTGTATATGTATGCTAAAAATTGTTAGGAAAAAGAAATCAATTCAATAATTTTTAGACTACAAAAATATTTAAAAAATCTCACGATTTAAAAATTAGTTAATATTTCATCAATGTTATTTTTTGTTGTATAAAAAATAGCATAATCATTGTTCAGAGGTAAAATTTTAATTAACAGATTTGAATTAACTATAACAAGTTCACAAGACCCATTCTTATGTGGGCAAGCTCAACACACATTGCTTGTCTCTTTGAGAGTGTAAGGAGCACTTTGATATATAAAGGCTCTATACTTGAGTGGTTCAAACAATGTAAGACTATTTTCTTTTGAAATATTATATATATATATATATGTGTGCGCGCGCGCAACACTTCCCACTTCAACCAGCTGCTTTACGGACTACTCTTGCTTTTACTGCTGCTTCCTATGCTTCTTGCTTTTGACTACTTGCCTTTCCCTCCGAGTGTTTTCAAGGAGAATATTATATATATATATGCAACAATTTTAACACCAAATATAAATAAATGTTGGATTCAAAATTATATATCTCATAATATTTAATTTATCTAAAATTATATATAATATGATCAAGATAAATATGAAATGATTTAATGAATAAAATTTTCAATTTTTTATTATTATTATTTCTGAAATAAGTAAAATTCTTCTTATATGTTTCTTAACTACTTTATCCGGTGACTCGTTAATTGAATCAATATCCCAATATTTTGAATCAATCGATCACGAGCCTGAGTTTAATAACACTATATACATCTATAATATTCCATCAAATTTCTTGGAAAAAGTTCTACCTTCTTCCATGCTCTGTACAACCCCAAAAACATGTCTCATGGTCATGGCATTCCACTAAAACATGAAATGAAATTTCTCTCTTTCCGAGTCATTGACAAGAATAATCATTGATAATGCACATCTAAAGTAAACTTTGATGCAAGCAAGCATGGGTATAACTTTGCCTTTAAGTAGAGCAATTTCCCAAACTTTCTTTTGTTTTCTTAAAAAATATTTTTAGGTTGTTGGGATTTCGGATATCTGTCTTGAATGCTTTTTTGGGGTGCTATGTGGCACCAATGCATTTATGTTACAGCAGAAAGAAATAATTTGTTGTTTTTCAAATAAAGATATCTCACTGATTTTATATTGTTATCTTTATTTCTCACTTATTTTTTTATATTCACATATCATGATTACACTTCAAAATAAAAATGAAAAACTTTTGTTTACTCATTTTAATGATCAAAAAACATTATTCATACAAGAATGCATGGGAATTGAGCTGCTTGGTTGGTAGATGATAATTCAACTAATCGTTATATAATTTTAAAAACTAATTAAAAATAATTCATTATTTAAGACATAACATTAAATAAACACACCACCAAAAATCCTTACAAGTGTTTTTTAACTGTGATAATAACTGGTAAAACAAAATAATCTAATATTAACATTTTCTTATCTAACTTCAAGTTCATTTATATTATTAGGATAATCACATGATCTATTTTGACATTTGATGAGTCGACATGATTTTAGTAAATTAAGGAATGAACGTGTTTATGAATAACTATATTAATTAACTTTTAAACAATATGATAGTTTGTGACATATAAAAGGGTTTTTGAGTGAAATAAAATTGTTATAAATGAAGAATTCTTTTTTCAAACATATATTAGAATCGTATAAGTAAGGCTGAAAGCCATAATTTTAATCAAGTTAAAGTAATGGTTATGAAGAGTAAAATTGTGAAATTAAATATATGAATGAAAGGGAATATTGTGAAAAGTATAAAGGAGAAAATTAGACGTAAGGTGAGTTGGTAATGTTATGGAAGAGAGTCCAAGGGGCGCCCATAATAATGGTTTGGGAGCAATGAATCTTCTTTATCCCTAAGTTCTTATTTATTCACTTTCCAATGAAATCTTAGAAGACCAACATGCTTGTATGATGTCCCATTCTCCGAAAACCCACGAGCATTCGTCTTAGGCAAATTGTACAAGTTGTTACATAACCCAATGCATAATTAATTTACGTTGTTTGGTTGGTAATGGTCCCCTATTCCCCACTCTTCCAACTGCCCCATATGAAGAAGAACTGTACTTTGACAAGAGAATAAAGGGAAGCAAGCAAAATGCAAAATGCAAAATGCAAAATGCAAAATGCAAAATGCAAAATGCAAAATGCAAAATACTACTACTCTCACTAACGGTATCTTTAAAACATTTTCATTTTGTGGCCATCATTTAGTTAGCCACTAATTCGATTAATACGCGTTTGTTATGTTATGAGACACGTATTGTGGGACCCACTTCCATTACTAGATACAAGATACAGTTCTAAATCCTTTTTCTACCGATCGCTTTGATGGGGTACTCACTACTCAGGCCTATTCATTTCAATCAATGCCATTGCCATTGCCATCGATACTTATATATTTATTATTTTTCTTTCTCATATGGATACTATATGTACAATCACAATCATACTTCTGCTTTGCTTTGGATTACCCTAACTTTCTTTGAACAACGAGTTTGGAATTAAATATACTCAATTGCTAGGGCTATACTATGTGGGGAAGGCTTCGTTCTTTGTTTTATCCTAAATCAAAGATAGTGGAATAATTAATTTAACTGCTATGCCTTTAAAGGACTTGTTTGTGCCACAAGACTGGTAGATTACGAAAGACACATGTGTAAGCAACGTCATTATCTCACCTTTTTTTTTTTTTTTTAATTCTCTTAGAAATCTAACGAGACTGTGTAATATGTAGTTATTATTTCCTTACAATGAGTTAAAATAAATAGCGTTAGGAGGGAAAAAAAAATACTAAAATGTTTAACAGGATAAATATGTCATTTTTTAGCCAAGAGTAAAGAAGATGGGTTCATCTTTATATTTAGTTACTATATCTAAAGTTTTGATATAGTAAATATGAATTAATAGGATAAAATACATTTAATATCCGACTTTTTTTTTATCATAATAAATTATTTTTAATATAATATGTTTAAATTTTAAAATAAAAGAAATATAAAAATTAAATTAATATATTTTTAAAACAAATAATAATATTATAAATATAATATTTTATTATACGATATATTATCTATTAAATAAAAATTTATTATTAATATACAATTATTAAAAAATATATTTTTTAAAGAATATAAGAGATGAATTTGAATAGAGAGTATCTAAAGAATAACTTAATTTTAAAAAATAGAATATTCCATAAAAATTAACCTTACGTTAGACTGAGTTAATGAGATGGTGGATTTTGCTTGTACCTACTTTTAGTTATTTATAAATTATATAAATGCATTCATATAATCTCATTTTATTTAACCAAAATATTTTAAAATATAAAATAATTAAAAGTTACTATCTTAAGTTTTAATTTGAAAATTATGAAATAAACTAAAACTATAAACATAATAATTATTTAAAAGTATATTATAATATCTTTGTAGTTATGGTTAAATATTTCATTTTTTATATATGTCAAGTAATTTATTAGTTAAATATTTTTATCAGTTTTTTATTTAATCAGCCAACTTTTAACTTTTAATTAATTTATCTATTATTTATATCAATAACACTAATATATTGGATCTGTAAAAAAAAGGCATTAATATATTGAAAGTTTAGCTATTTATTTGATTCTAATTCTATTATTTTACATTTTTGTCCGAATTTTAATCTTTATACATAAGTTTTTAATTAATTTCGTTTATGTCTCTCCATTATATATGTATTAACTTTATTTGATGAAACCATCATAAAATAAAATTTGACGGTGTAAAATTATCACAAAGTTTTTAGCGATTGGTAAACCATCACAAATTTGATGCTAAAGTGACCACTTAAAACAATACAATAAATAGGACATGTTCGTGATGAAATTCAGGAACTTGGGATTAAATCGAAGACAGAAGCGAGGAAAGATCACTTGAAAGTCAAAACAAAAGGATGGCCAGTATCAGAATGAAAATTTGGTTGCCACTTGCGACACACACAAAAACCTTTCATTCACTCCCCCACCTCTTCCACAGCCTTACACTATTGCTCTCTCAATATGAAAGGGTAGTATAGAATCAAAATTTGTGTTAACTATTAATATAAATTATTGATAAAAAAAAAACTCTAATTTTAAGTATAGACCGATACTAAAATCACCTATAAAAGTTTTGCCTTATATAAAATAATTGAAGTAATCTGACAGATACCAGATAGTTCTTAGTTTGGGGCTACACAGAAAGAAAAGTAAAAACCAAACAGCAGCTAAAGATGGTTTTGTTGTATTTAGTTATAAATATTGATTATTGTTTCTTATTAAACAAAAAAGAAGTCATTTTGGTATATAGTCTATTAATATTCTAAAATTAGTAATAAAAATTAATTTATAATTATCTTAATAAAAGTAATGAAGATAATTTATGGAACTACAGGGACTTTCTCTGCCTCTTGTTGCAGCGATAATAATAATAATAATACATGTTTTTCTTTCTACTAGGTATTTAGATTTTTACCTGTGTGGGCATTTAAACAATGAAAATGGCATATTACCAATCATCCTTTCCCCTCTGTAGGAAACACCCATCATTGCCCCCAACAATCCTTTTCACCCTTAGAAACCTGAGCTTCCAAGATTATTCCCTCTCTTCCATTGCTTCCACTTTTTTTCTCTCTCTCTCTCTGTTTTTTTTCTTCCTTTTACTTAAATTAAATCTCATGGTTCCATAAACTCATGAAACTCCACTCTCTCTCTCTCACTCTCACATACACACGCAAACACACTCTCTAACTCAATTTAAATATCTCCCTCCCGTTTAACACAAGACATCAATCTCTTGTTCATAATGGAGGCGTGTCCCTCGTCGAACGCGAACACGGTGAGCGGGTTCTACACGTTCGTGAGCAGGGGCATGGAGGAGCTGGAGCGAGCGTTTCTGGCGAACAACTTGATGTCAATCCAGTTTCTTCAGAGGGTGCTGTCGCTCCTCCGATCGTTCCACACGCAACTCACGCTTCTGGTCCACAAGCTCCACCTTCCCCTCGGAGACAAGTGGCTCGATGAGTACATGGACGAAACCTCTAAGCTCTGGGAAACATGCCACCTCCTCAAGAACGCCATCTCCAACTTCGAACCTTTCTACTCTGCTGGCATCAACCTCGCCTCCTCCCTTGACTCTCACTCCCACCTCTCCCCACAGGTCCCTTAATTCTTCAAGAAAAAAAAAAAACACTTTACTTTTTTCTCTAACCATCTTATTAGTGCCAACTATCTTTGACTTAATTTCTACCTGGCTACAAACTTGACTGAACATCTTTAATAAGAGACTTGATTTTTTCATTAATAAGACTCGAGTCAACTCGAGAGTTTAGTTAAGAGAATGAGTTTAAGTTCTTGCTTTAGTGTTTACACGCATTACTTTCCAAGAATTGGACAAGGGTTGTGCTTTTTAAGGTGAAATTAGCTATATGATAAATTATGAACTTGTTAAAATTTTCATCTTTTTCTTGTTCTGAATATAAGTAGGAGCTATGAATCAAAGTCTTGAATTGGGGTCATTTTCGTTGATATTGTGGTTGGGTGCTCAGAAACTTTAGCCGTTTTTTAAAACTTGCTATGAATATTGATTATATTAGTCCTTAATTGATCTCTAAACACAAGGATTTTTTTTATAAAAAAAAAAGGTTTTTGATCAGCTTGAAGGTTTTTGGGTTTCTAAAATCACGGTTAAAAGCGTTGCTTAAACATACTAAATACGGTTTTGAATTGGGGTGGGGGTTGTGATTTTGTCGCAATTCTTGGGGAGGAAATGCGATCGATGTAGCTGCTACAAAATTGTTGTAAAGATGAAATTTTGATACTAATGTGTGAACATGATGCATGAGGGCATTTGTGGTTACGAAATTAGAGGTTTGGTGTGGTGTTTGCAGGTAGTGAGGGCGATATCTGGGTGTAGAAGGGAGGCTCTGGGGTTGGAGGAGCAGAACCGCGGTTTGATGGAGACGAGGATCCACACTTTGTGTCTACGTTTGGACGAGAGGGTGTCCGTGGAGTCGAAGCTGAACGGGTTCAACGGTTTCAGGGGCGTTCTCTACGCAATGAGGAACGTGAGTTCGATGCTGCTCATGATCCTGCTGCACGGCCTAGTCTACTGCTGGCCGGAGACATCGGAGCTGGTGGTGGGGGGGTACGAGGGGGGGAGGCTGTTTCTCGGGTCGGCGGTGGTGGTGGCGGCAACGAGGTTGCGGCAGAGGGTGGCGGCGGAGATCGGTGGGGCAGGGCCGGGGATTTTGCTCTACGAGTTCAGGAGGGCCAGGGTGGCGGTGGAGGAGCTCAGAGGGGAATTGGAGACAGAAAGAGTGGAGAGTGTTAGAGTATGTTTTGGGGTGCTTAGATCTGGTGCTGAGAACATAATTTGCCAGCTTGATGATTTCTTTGATGAGATTGTGGAGGGGAGGAAGAAGCTTTTGGATTTTTGCAGTCATAGGTAGGTAAATAAATAGTAAATAGTTTTCAGAAAATGTTCCTCATTTCTTGTTTGCTCGATTAAAGAGGGGCTTGTGGTTCAAAATGAAAAGGCCATGTTTTTCTTTGTTGTTCAGTTTTTTAGTTCACTTGTTACTTTTTGATTCGAGGGCAAGAAAATGAAACAGGATTTGTTTGATTCCCGGTTGCGGTCAAGAGGGAATTACTGACTCATATTTCTAATGCTTAGATGTTGAGAGGTTGACCCCGTAAGTAAACGAGGAGGGTGTTAAAGAAACAAGTATGTGACCAGAAAGAAGAGTAACTAAACAAGATAGAGTAGATGAAATGAAAATCAGTTATTCAGTTCGCAGTTGCTGAAAGATTATGGTACCTTTTAGTAATTTCATTATTTCAAGCGTATATCATTGTGTATGATTAATTTTATCTCGCTTGAAATGGTATTTTGTTATCTCATTTTACTCTTTCCATACTTTAACCCTTTTTACAATCTCTCTCTCTCTCTCTCATGTGGTCTTTCTTGAGTTAGTTACCGTAGTTGCTCCAAAAACGAAAGTTAGTTACCGATGTTGAAACTTCGATGATACTGCTGAAGGGAGTGAAGAAGATTCTCCAATTGAATGAGGTTATGGGTTTAAAAACAAATCGGCAATAGATTAATATTATTGTCTTACACGTAAGCTAGATGTTGTGCTTCCTCCTCTAGTTATAGCCGGGTGAATAGAAACAAACATAGAAGGTATTAACCGCGCAGAAGACAAATGTGGAAAGAACCAATAAAGGTGAACTTCAAATGACCAACGAAAGTAAAGATGTCAGATCAATTTTAAGTTTCCTTTTTTTTTTTTTGCGGTGATTGATTTTTCTCCAAAACATTGAATTTGAAAGAAGGGTCTCGTGAGTTGTTATAGTAATGATTAATGATTCTACTCCTGAAATAATAGAATGGAAAGCTTAGAGCTGTAAGGAGCACTTCTGAGATTCCTGAAATGCTTTAACGCCAAAAGCAAACTTCTTTTGCTCATAGGAAGCTTTTGTCTGATTCGGTTCGCCTTGAAAGCAACGGAGATGATGATGAAAAATGCTCACTATGTCATGACAAGTCTTGCATCTCAGATTTTTGTGTTTCAAAATTCTTCGACTTCTTTTTCTTTTGGGGTGTGGGGATGTTTAATATTTCACAGGATTTCAGCGGTCACTATCTCATTTTTAACCTACTTCATGTTTTTTGTCCCATGACGGAAATTCATGGCTTGCCTCCTTACAAGGGTTCATATGAGTGCAGCTTTAAAACAAAACAATAAAATAACACTGAAGGAGCAAGCATGCAGATTGCAGACAAAAAAGATGTGTGATATTTTGGTGAAAGTCCAGCATGCCGGATGTCAAACAGGCACAAATGGTGTTCCCTATAAGTAAGCAATGGCTGTCGTAAGGTGAATAACCATTATCCCGCGTAAAAAGCATCTTCACGGTTAATGGACAAAAAGTGGTTGCTTAAGTAGAACTAGAAGGTGTTCTCAAAACTCTTCATCTATACCACAAGCAAATAGACTCCAGAAACAGCAGTAATTAGAGAACAATGTATTATATATCCATACATGGCTATAAAATAATCTCATAAATCTTATCAGAAAAAGATAATAAAATAATCTCATGCACACGAGCGAGATGAGCACGGTAAGATAAGACCTCTCTTTTATGTACTGTCTTTTTAGCAGTAACATAATAAGTTTCTTCACAAATAGTCACAAATTATGGTTGGGGAAGAGGGAAACCTTTGTACAACATCAAAGTCAGAATTAAGCAGACTATTTATTCAATGTGATGTATGGCCATGGCAGTATGATCTGACTTCTATTTGCATATATATATATATATATAT